CAAGAAATCAGAGCCTCAAGTGGCCGACCCTTGACGGGCTTGGGGTAGTAAAATCTGGCCTGGCCTGTTCCCACTTGCCAACCCTCCAAACGCAAGTACTACTTGTATTCCATTAATCGAAAATTAGAATTAAGTACAATCTCGTCTTCTGTTTTGTTATCAAGTCCAAACTCTTTCCCTTTAAGGGATTAAGGACAGTTGCTTCAAATAATTAAGTTATTAAGTCTAAACTAATTGTAAAAGGTTTTTTTTAATAACAAAACTACCCTTTTAAATAAAATTAGTTTATATATTTATATATATATATATATATATATATATATATTGCTATTGAAGATAGGGGATACAAATGAGTAAATGAAAGAACATCGCAAAAAAAAACAAAGCAATTAAAAGAGTTCTCCTGCCCTATCCATAGTAGGGTTATTGCCTAAATTTATTTTGCCTCTAACGGCATATGGGATATCATTTCCATCTACCTTCCCATTGTATTTCATTTTGAGTCCGCAAGTTCATGAGCTGTACATTTTGTCAATCGATCTGTATGGTTCATTCCCCATTCTTGGTGTTCTATGAGCAGGTGCTTGAGATCTTAAATGATAGAAATAATAAATTAGTGAGGCTTGACATTAGTTAGTAGTGCAACATGGATGACAACTTGGGAGTTCCCTTCAATGGTCACATAATTCTAGTTTTTCGCATGAGCCCATAGTGTTGCCATCTTGCTGCAAGTGCTTCAGCAATTAAGGGGTCTGTGTTTGACTCATTTCCAACTACAGCTCCTAGTACTGTTCCATCTGGTTTCCTTGCAATTGCTGCTTGGCATGAGCCATTTGGACCAACTGCTACATCAACATTGATTTGGATCTCTTCATCTGCAGGGGGAATCCAGTTGAGCTAATGTTGCTTTAGTACTTGACTAGACTATTGGGGGGTTCTGGTTTCCTTGAATTCCATGTACATTTTCATGATTTTTTATTGCATCTTAGGTTGACAGATCTGTATCTGATTGAATTGGAGTTTATTCCTCCATTTCCAAATGATAGTGACAAGGATTGCAGCAAATAAGTCCATGATTCTTTGCTGCTGCTAGAGATGCCAAAGAGGATTGTGGGATTAAAGATGTTGTGCACCCATTCTTGTACAGTGAAGTGGTGGAAGGAATCTATCCGTAGTCCTCAACTGGAAAACCATATTGCTCTTGTCAAATGACAAAGGAAGAAAATATGCTCAGAAATTTTTGGGCTCAAATTACACACGAGGCATAGGATATCTGAGATTGGGAGTCTGGAAGCAAGGAGGGCTTTTGTTGGTATGCATTCAATGGCTAACCAACAAAGGATCATCATGAGTCTCTCATGCAATTTAAAAGTCCACAATTTGTTCCAATCTGCTGGTTCTAGGTATTGACTTGTCAAAAATAGATCTTCCCTTGATAGCTTGTATGCTGACTTGGTGTCGAAGTCCCCTTTCTTGGATGGGATCCATATCATTTGATCATCTCTTGAGAAGTTTGGAAGTTTTATACTTAATATTGCTTCAACTGTTGCAGGAAAAAATAATGCCGAAAGAAGGCCAAGGTTTAAGGCTATATGTATCTCTATTGTCTCTCTTTGTTTTTCAGATCTCAACTCCATCTTCTCAGATTCGCCGTCAGAGGGGCCACTTCATCTTGGTCGATTTGTCTTAGTAGCCGAATAATTGTTTGTCTTTGGTGGGTAGAGAAGCATAGTTTCGTCGGCCAGTTTGGATTGGGGTAGAAGCTTATAGCATTTGGGTTCGTGGCAAGACCATTACTTACAACGCATTTGTCAGGCCAGGCGTTATTCATCCTATAGAACTCGAGAAAAACAAGGAATTCAATCTAAGGAGCTACTACAATGGTGGATTTCCACGTAATGGGTGAGAAAGGAGTGGCTGTGTAGGAGGGGTTGATGCAATGCTATAGTTTGAAGTTACAGAAGGGGTTGATGTATGATATTGATGTACACTCATCCAATCTCGTTGAAAATTTATGTAATTTAGTCCATTTTAATGTCTTCTCTAGAATGTTTGCATCAGTAAATTTATGACAGGTGATCAATATCCAGACACAAATCACCTGTCATATGTTGACAAAGGCCAGTGCATGACACAAATCAATATCCAGACACAAATCAATATCCAGCTTATAAGCTATGCCCAAATGGTGTTCCGATGAAATACAATAAAAAATGAAACAACTCTATTTCATTTCAAACACAATAAATTTGTTAATAGTGATAGTCGATTAAATTAGACAAAATTTCTTTGATATTAAGCAAAATTTGTTTCAAATTTGCACATTGAAATTTGATAAGCGACAATGAAATTCACTATCTTTTTGCTACTGTCTTGTAGCTATTTAGTTCCGTAGAACTTTGACAATCATGAATAATAATAACAATAAAAATCCACGTTACTATCTAGTTTTGTGAATTTTAGAAAATGAGAATGAACAATAGCAGTAAAAATTCACTATTATTGTAGTTGTTACTGTCTTATGTTATTGTCTCAATATCACTGTTATATGTTATTGTTATTGTCTCGTTACTATTGTTACTACTTTGTTGTTACTGTTTATTTTTGTAATATAATTATTTATGTCATTAAAAATAAATTAATTTTTATATTTCTAATTGTCCTATAAACCCCAAAAAATACACACATAGACTAATTGACCTAAAAGTCTACGTGGACTGACCTCCGATTAACCCTTTCAATAGGTGAATTCCGATTCAAACCTTGTCAAATGCGGTTCACAGTTGGGATCATGAAATTCGTGATCGTGCTTGTTACTCCTCTTGAGAACGAATTTAATTATACTAATATAGCAGTCAACCACCATATGAACTCCAAGTCTCAAATTTAAGTTTGATTAAGAATTAAAAAAGCTCTTAGATCACTTTAAAAAGTTCAATTAACATCATCAGTTATCAGTTGTAATACTAGTTGGTTGAGAGATAAGGTGTGTGTATGTCTAACTAATGGGTCTTGAAGTTAAGGGTTTAAATTTTCCTCTCCTTTCTTCCTCCCCCTCCTACAAAAAAATAAGAGTTAATTACAAATTACACTCCAAAAAATTGTTCGAATCTCAATTTTTACCCTTAAAAATCAAAATTTTAAATTTACACCCTCAAAGATAGAAATTTGTATCGATGTGCACCCCTTAAGATCAAAAATATTAATTTACTCTCTCAAAGATAGAAATTTGTATCAATGTGCACCCCAAAAGATAAAAAATCTCAATTTGCACCCTTAAAAATAAAATTTTGTATTAATATACACCTAAAACTAAATTGATAAATTATACCTAGATTTTCTCATACTTGTCACTTAATCATTTGAACACCTTCACAAAATAAAGGAGTAATATGAAATTATAATTTTTTGTTAGGATAAAATCAAATTTTTTAACGATCTAATAAAAATAATCTCAATCTAAAATGTCCCCCCAATTGGGCATTCAAATAATTATGTTTGACTGATATATTACATTGGATATAAAAAATATTATATAAATACCTACATTCTATTGAACATTTAAATGATAAACTTGGTTTTGAACTTTAGAGTATATTAGACCCACAAAATAAAAGATAATATGAAATTAAATTTTTTTATTAAGATAAAATTATATTTTTTAACAATTATATTAACGGATATTAACAAAAAAAGGTTACGTATTACACGTTCACAAACATCATGATATGTAGGAGTAATATTCTAAATGTGAAAAAGTCCAAATGATTAAGTGACAAGAATGAGGGGATCTAGATATAATTTATCAATTTAATTTTAAGTAACAAACTGATAGCGGTTAGTTTTAGGTGAACATTGATACAAATTTCTATTTGTAAGAGTTCAAATTGAGATTTTTGATCCTTGAGGGTGTACATTAATACAAATTTCTATCTTTGAGGCTGTAAATTGAGATTTTTTATCTTTGGGGTACACATTGATATAAAATTTTATTTTTAAAATATAAATTAAAATTCGAACAATTTTAGTGAATACAATTTACAATTAACCCCAAAAAAAAGGTACGTGTATGTCTAACACAAAAAGTAAATAAATACACGTGTTTCAAATTCATCTAAAAAATTTGAAAGATTAGAGAGATAAATTCAAACCCAGAAGACCAGTGTCACCAAATGCAAAAGAAATTGGGGTCTGAATTCCTTGGATTTCGATACAATTACTGTGATGGTGGTGATGCAGTTGCTATGTAATTCATTCTTTTGCAGCACCATTACATCAGAGAGAAAAATAATTCCAAAAAATCGATTCTTTTTCACTCTTTGACCTCGATATCGATGCTGCACGGAAAATTGGCAATACCAATTTACATTATCCAACCCTGCTTTCGTGGTTAGGACAACTGAAATTGTATTGTATCGGACCTAATGTGTTTACCATTTTTGTGCTAAATTTGTACATATGGATACGCCGGACCGGGCGGTAATTTCTGCACGCCGGCATTCTGGGTAGCCGAGTAGTGGCATTGGGTATCAGTGCTAAGAGAGCCATTGAAAGAGGGATTTATTTTGTTTCACTCATGATACGTTTGGTGGATTACAAATAGGGAGTTATACTTGTTGAGGTGGTTTGTGATTTAGATTTGTCACCCCTTAATTTGTTTGAGAGAGAAAAAGAGAGAGAGAGAGGGTGACGAGGAGGTGATAAGGCGGTGGGGTTTCTGGGTTGAGAAAAGAAGTAAGCGAGAGGCTGATAATAAAATCATAAGATATTTTTGTTTTTGACAAGCAATCTGTACATTTGGATTTTGTCGTTTTTGTGGGTTGGAGATAATTTCTGCAAGCAAAATGTGCGGTTGTGGTTGTGGTTTGCTCTCTCAAAAATCCTACCTTTCTCTATCTATTGCTCACTCTTGCGCTATATTTCTTCTCCTACTAATGGATTAGTAACTATCTCTCTCTGCGCCTTATCATTTCCCTCTACCTCTTTGTACTGTTTGTCTAATGGCGGCGACCGTAGCGGCTGCAGCAGCGGCGGCGGCGAATGCTTCAATATATGCTGCTTCAACTCAAACTCTCTATACTGCTCATTCTGCTTCTAGTAGTAGTAATTCTAGTCCCTTTGTCTCAAACACATATGGTGCGTTATTTCCGTCTTCTGGTTCTTGATATAATCGTATTGTTCACATTGGTTTTTATCAAACATGTTATTAATTGGTATAATCATGGTTTCATATATTCTGTTGCAGCTTTATGGTGGATCTATTTTTTGTTTGGATCTTTCTATTCTTGAATTTGGGGTTTAAATTAGCGGAGTAAATAGAAGATTTTGAACTTTAATATTCTTGGAATGTATTGACATGAACATATCGTGGGAGGGAATCTGCAGCAGAGATATTATTCTCTTGCATTAAAAAAAGAAACAGTCATGATGGATTATTGATTGTAGATTTCTGTTTTTGTTCCATAAACTCTAACATATGTACCTTTCCAAAAAATTTGGCAACAACATAGTTTATATAGCTTTGTGGTGTTTTTTTTTTTTTTTTTTGGGGGGGGGGGGGTTGATGTACAATAGAACTTAGTTTTGATGTTAGATATTTGTTGTCAATTGTTTGGGAGAATTTATGATTATAACACAAACTTTGAAGACCCAAATGCCTTAGGCATCTGTATGTTTTTTCTGAGACTGGGTTCTAGGAATTCTAGCTTGGTTATCGTGTGACAACTAACCCAACTTACTGGGAGTCAGCTACATAATTATGTTTCATTGTTGTTTACTTCATCTAAGACCTTATTGCTACTTTCAATTCATAGAAAAGATTTTAAAGAATAAAACATAATAAAAAGTGTGCAAAAGTTCATATGTTCACCTTTTTTTTTGCCTGATAATCTCTGTGTATTTTGATGCAGCTACCAATTTCATGGGTGCTCCCTTGCAGAGATATCGCCCGAAGAATAGGAAGTCAGTTAAGAATGCAGGAAAAGTAAGTGCTGTTGCTGCTGTTGCAACAACTCCTGTTGAAGAAATCAAAGAGTAAGCTTCTTCAATCCTTTCTCATGTTTCTCTGCTTCCAAACCAGATGTATTGCATTTGCAATATAGCCATTTTTAGGTTAAATGGCAGAGCTGATCTTCCAAATATTTAATTTTATTAGATTTGAGAATGAAGGAGGCCATCTTCCATATTGTTATTGATTATATACAAGCAGGATGATGATAGTCAGGCTACATAAGTTTCGGGATGACATCCTCCAATTTAGTTGTTTTATCAAATCTAAAACTTTTCATACTTCTGTGAAATTTCATAGCATGGTGGAACTCAAGTCAATTCTCGATTTTTCAGTTTTTTGCTTCCTACATGGGCGGAATTTGAACTTGGTTGGGCTCCAGTTTATTGGAAAACTATGAACGGCCTTCCTCCTACTTCGGTATGTTTGGCATTGCAATTGATATAATGAACTCTCGCAAATATTTATGGATTTAGTTTTTCATTGATTATGCATTTTGAACTTTGACAGGGAGAGAGGCTGAAACTTTTTTACAATCCAGCTGCAAGAAAACTTGTTCCTAATGAAGAGTTTGGGATTGGTTTTAATGGTATTTTGTTGTAGCTATCTGAACCATGGCATTTGTACATTTAACCTAGAAAAAACTGTAGATCCGTTACTAAATAGTAGTGGAAAGAAAATAAAAGACAAGAGAAGAGAAGTGGAGAGAAGATCAAGATCATGAAAATTATTGTAGGAGATGACGCCGTCATTTTAAATTCTAAAAATGAAATTTCTGTGCATATATATTTCGATGCTGCAGAAAATGCGATAAAATTTCTTTTTCTTAGGGGATGCTCCTTTACCTTGTTGAGTGTTGTGTGGTAGAACTTAAATGATTGAAAATGAAATGCAACAAAGTTGGAAAGGTTCTTTGCTGACTTGTTCAGTCGTACATATTGCAGGAGGTTTTAATCAGCCAATAATGTGTGGTGGTGAGCCAAGGGCAATGCTTCAAAAAAATCGAGGCAAAGCAGATCCTCCTATATATACGATTCAGATATGTATCCCTAAGCACGGTCAGTCTCCATTCACACACTAATTATCCTCGACTACATAAGATTCCTCTTCTCTTTTTTGACCACTCTATGATTTGCAGCTATGAATTTGATCTTCTCATTCACAAATGGGACCGAGTGGGATGGTCCCTATAGACTACAGTTTCAAGTCCCAAAAGGTTGGCGAAACAAACCAATTGACTTCTTTAATCAGGTAATACAACACTCAACTTCTTGGTACTTTAATCTACTGCTTAATTTCAATGAATGACACACCAAATCCAAGTTGTCAAAGGGTAAAATCATTTAGAGAATCCTCTTATATAGATGTGTGTGTGTCTAAACAAATTCACATAGGTGTTAGTATTCTTAATCTAGGGTCTTGCCGAAGAGTTGGGTAAAGAGGGTGCATGTGAGAAAGCAATCTTCCCAGACACAAATATTGTCATCACAAGATGCGCTATGATTGGTAACTTGACAGTTGAAGGAGTAAGTGAAATCTCTCTCTTTGTTCTATACCATTGTGTCAAAGATCTATTGTCAAATCAAATGAAGGTTTTAAGTTTTCACTGTTGTCAATGGTGGCTATCACAGGGTGACCGTTGCAATCTTGATCTTGTACCCGGATGCNGATTTGACTAGTGCAACTCAAGCGAGTTGGACAAGTTAATAGATAAATTTGAACTCAACCTTAAGTTATAAAATACTAATTTGAATTGTAACAAAAGTGGCCAAAGAATCAGCATGTTGATTGATAAACCTATTGATATGGGTAAATTCCACATCAATTCATCACTCACACACAACTTCTATACACCAGATTAAGAAGATGTTAGGAAAATCTTTTTCGATGCGAATGTCTCATCTGTTTGTTGAACCACAAAATTTGAGTCACCTTTTAATTTGTCTTGTTCATGCTTAAATTTTCAAACTCTTAGTCCACATTCAAGTTGAATTCTTTCTTCTTCTTCTTTTTTTTTAGTATCGGGTCACAATTTTGGTTCATTTCAAATTTAATGCTTGGGTTGTAAAACTTGAAGTGAAATTTGAACTAAACCAAACTTATTAATTCGGGTTGGATTTAAATTAGGTCCAAAAAATCCAAGGCCCTAACCTTCGTATTGTCCCTAATTTAAATCGGGTTAGAAGTTTGTAACAAATTATTAAAAATTTCTTTCCAAATGTATGTTGAATATTGCAAATTCAAGTCGGATTAAATTGGAATTGTCCCATTACATACCTACCCCAAACCCAATCTGGTTGGCAAGGACCCAATCCAAGTAGCAAAAGGGTAATTCCCGTGACACACATTAATGCACAGAGTCTGTGTTTACTCCTTTTTCTCCCAATCCTCGTGATTTCATAATTAGCTTTCTTCGGTCTATTTCACCAACCTCACTCATGCATTAACTTCCATAGGCTTTTAACACCCAACTCTCACAGCAACCAGCGACTCAAATTCTCTCTTTTTTTCTCAAAATGGCCCTCATTCTCTCACTTCAATGTATATTACTAGTAAATTTTGTGTTCATTCCTCTGGGCATGCCTTTCACAGTCATCATGTCAGACTCCGGCGTCCCGTCCGCCTTGGTCGATGCACCGCAAACTGGGTTTTCAATGAACAAGAATGGAGCCCGAACCGATGCCCATGAACAAGAAGCGGTCTACGACATCATGAGGGCCACAGGAAATGAATGGGCCACTGATATTCCCGACGTTTGTCGTGGCCGGTGGCACGGTATAGAGTGCATGCCGGACAAGGACAATGTCTACCACGTCGTGTCACTATCATTCGGATCTCTATCCGATGACACGACATTCCCTACGTGTGAGCCAAATCAATCTTTCATTTCACCTTCTATCACTAAACTCTCACATATTAGAACTCTTTTTTTCTATCGTTGTTTCAGTTACAACCCACAACCCATCCCAACATTTTTGGCCCGTTTGGGGCCCACTCTACATACCCTAGTTCTTAGGGAGAATGGGCATGTAGGGCCTATACCAACTGAACTTGGCAATCTGACCCGTTTAAAAGTCCTTGATCTTCATAAAAACAATCTCAACGGTTCAATACCGGCTTCACTGGGTCGGATCACCGGTCTAAGGTCGTTAGACTTGAGCTGCAACAAACTAACCGGTTCAATTCCCACTCTAATTTTCCCTCTTTTGAATGTGCTAGACCTCAACCAAAATCACCTCGTCGGACCAATTCCATCCACCCTTGGAAGCTGTGATTCTCTGATGAAGATTGACTTCAGCCGGAATCGTCTCTCCGGTTCAATATCGGATTCGATCCATGACCTGAAAAATTTAATTCTCATGGATTTAAGCTATAACAGCCTCTCCGATCCACTTCCAGTATCTCTCAAAAGCTTGACTTCTCTCCAAGCTTTGATTCTCAATGGCAATTCAATGGTGTCCTCAACAATTCCAAGTGATGGGTTTGATGGCTTGAAAGATCTAATGATCTTAGTTCTCTCAGACATGAACTTGCAAGGACCCATACCTGAATCACTAGCCCGATTACCGAACCTTCGTGTCCTTCATCTTGATAGGAATAATTTGAATGGTTCAATTCCAGCAAGCTTTCGAGAACTGAACAACCTTAGTGAGTTTAGACTCAATAATAATCGTCTAAGCGGGCGTGTACCATTTAGGAGAGAAATGGTTTGGAGAATGAGAAGTAAACTAAAGCTTCACAACAATGCTGGACTATGCTACGATGCAAGCAATGGTTTTGGAGGTGATCTGGATTCGTTATTCGATTTGGGTATCGAACGCTGTGAGACGGCAAAACCCGGACCAGCAAGAACAGTGCAGCATTTTTCCACAGTTAATGGAAATATCACAAGATCGTCAATGAATAAATCATCTTCAACAGTTCATAAATCTTCACTTTCTGGCAGGTTGCTTTATTTAACCACCCTTCTTCTGTTTATAGTGTCTTTGTTGTGACTGACAGAATCTACAAGTAACTAGGAAGCTTTGTAAAGTCAAATGTTTTGTATCAGAAAAGCAAATTTGAATTTGTTAAATCTACAGATAGTGTTGTATCAGAAAAACTAACTGTAGGAAGATTTCAAGTTTCTATATGAGCATGTTTAGTTGAGGGATTAGGAGATTGGATTGTATTAATTTAATTCCGTGATGATATAATATCAAGTTTCAATTGAATTATAGCAATTCGATATTAATTTTTCATTTATCCTGACTTGATTCACAACTGTCATTTAATAACTAATATTATGTATTAATTAATAGGGTTAATTACACTAGAGATCCTTAAAATATAAAATTTGTCTTATTTTGGATCCCAATATTTCAATTGTATCATTTTGAGTATTAAGTATTAAAAAAATTTTGTATGATATCTCAAACAAACAACGTCTAGATTGTTAATAAGTTTTTATCATAAATGTGTCATATAATACTTAAATATAAACAAAAAATAATTTAAATAACTCTTAACCAAAATTTAGATAACTCTCAACAAAAAAAAGTGTAATATGAGTAGCTTTTGAACAAAATTTGGATAGTTCATATTAAAAAAAAATGTGTAATTTAGGTAATTCTTTGACTAAAATTTGGGTAGAAATTTAGTCAAAAGTTATCTAAATTATTTTTGTTCCCATATTTAGGTACTAGTTATTTCTCATGCTTGAAGACATGGAGTAATAAAAAAAATGTTTAACGATAAACATATTTGTATTCACAACCAAAATCTAATCCTAAACATAGAGGATGGAGAACGAAATTTAAGCACTGATTGTAGTGGTGGTGATGAGAGACAATGATGTTTGTGAATGGTGGCAACGACTGTGGTAGTGGTGGCAACAATGATGGTGGTGATGGGTTTTGGAAAACGATGGTGGTAGTGGTAATCATGGATGACCTTGGTGGTGGTGGTGGTAGGTGGGCGACAGTAATGACAGTTGACAGTAGTAATGGTGGGACGACAACGATGATGGTAGTTGGTAGTGGTGGTGGCCGCTGACGATGGTGATAGTGGGCGACAACAGGTGTTTCTGGGCGACAGTGTGATGGATGGCGGCGAATGCGGTGGTGGTGGTAGATGTGGTGGGAGTGGGTGGTAGTGGCTGGCAGCGATGGTGGACGACGATGTGTTGGTGGGTTGTGGTGGTGGGTGCTAACAATGGGCGACGTTGGTAATGAGATGATGATGATAGTGACAATAAATATAAGAATGAGATGAAAATAGAGGTGAATGGTGGCGATGGACAATGGTAGTAACAATCAGTGGTAGTTGGCGATAGTGGTGGTGGTAGTGGGGCAATGACTATAATGGTGGTGGTTATAGGGTGATGATAACGATAATGGTGATGGTTGTGGGGGGTGGTGATAGGGGTGATGGTAAAACGGTGGTGGTGGTAGTAGGGTGGCGGCAACGATGGTGATGGTGATGGTGATGGTGGTGATAGGGGTGGTGACAGCGTGGAGGTGGTGATGGCGGCTACGATAGTGAGGTCGCGATGATGGTGATAGCGACGACATTGGTGGTGGTAGGGGGTGGTGGTTTGGTGGTGACAGTAATGATGGTGGTGGTAGTGGGGGGTGACGGTGGTGGTAGGACGATTGCAAACACTATTTTTTTTAAAACACTTATGAGAAGTAATTAGTCTTAGAAACAGTTTTAAAAAATCACCTTAAACACACTCTTAGAACCCTACTTGCCCTANTATGTGAGTCAAATCGATCTTTCATTTCACCTTCTATCACTAAACTCTCACATATTAGAACTCTTTTTTTCTATCGTTGTTTTAGTTATAACCCTCAACCCATCCCAACATTTTTGGCCCGTTTGGGGCCCACTCTACATACCCTAGTTCTTAGGGAGAATGGGCATGTAGGGCCTATACCAACTGAACTTGGCAATCTGACCCGTTTAAAAGTCCTTGATCTTCATAAAAACAATCTCAACGGTTCAATACCGGCTTCACTGGGTCGGATCACCGGTCTAAGGTCGTTAGACTTGAGCTGCAACAAACTAACCGGTTCAATTCCCACTCTAATTTTCCCTCTTTTGAATGTGCTAGACCTCAACCAAAATCACCTCGTCGGACCAATTCCATCCACCCTTGGAAGCTGTGATTCTCTGATGAAGATTGACTTCAGCCNCCAATTCCATCCACCCTTAGAAGCTGTGATTCTCTGATGAAGATTGACTTCAGCCGGAATCGTCTCTCCGGTTCAATATCGGATTCGATCCATGACCTGAAAAATGTAATTCTCATGGATTTAAGCTATAACAGCCTCTCCGATCCACTTCCAGTATCTCTCAAAAGCTTGACTTCTCTCCAAGCTTTGATTCTCAATGGCAATTCAATGGTGTCCTCAACAATTCCAAGTGATGGGTTTGATGGCTTGAAAGATCTAATGATCTTAGTTCTCTCAGACATGAACTTGCAAGGACCCATACCTGAATCACTAGCCCGATTACCGAACCTTCGTGTCCTTCATCTTGATAGGAATAATTTGAATGGTTCAATTCCAGCAAGCTTTCGAGAACTGAACAACCTTAGTGAGTTTAGACTCAATAATAATCGTCTAAGCGGGCGTGTACCATTTAGGAGAGAAATGGTTTGGAGAATGAGAAGTAAACTAAAGCTTCACAACAATGCTGGACTATGCTACGATGCAAGCAATGGTTTTGGAGGTGATCTGGATTCGTTATTCGATTTGGGTATCGAACGCTGTGAGACGGCAAAACCCGGACCAGCAAGAACAGTGCAGCATTTTTCCACAGTTAATGGAAATATCACAAGATCGTCAATGAATAAATCATCTTCAACAGTTCATAAATCTTCACTTTCTGGCAGGTTGCTTTATTTAACCACCCTTCTTCTGTTTATAGTGTCTTTGTTGTGACTGACAGAATCTACAAGTAACTAGGAAGCTTTGTAAAGTCAAATGTTTTGTATCAGAAAAGCAAATTTGAATTTGTTAAATCTACAGATAGTGTTGTATCAGAAAAACTAACTGTAGGAAGATTTCAAGTTTCTATATGAGCATGTTTAGTTGAGGGATTAGGAGATTGGATTGTATTAATTTAATTCCGTGATGATATAATATCAAGTTTCAATTGAATTATAGCAATTCGATATTAATTTTTCATTTATCCTGACTTGATTCACAACTGTCATTTAATAACTAATATTATGTATTAATTAATAGGGTTAATTACACTAGAGATCCTTAAAATATAAAATTTGTCTTATTTTGGATCCCAATATTTCAATTGTATCATTTTGAGTATTAAGTATTAAAAAAATTTTGTATGATATCTCAAACAAACAACGTCTAGATTGTTAATAAGTTTTTATCATAAATGTGTCATATAATACTTAAATATAAACAAAAAATAATTTAAATAACTCTTAACCAAAATTTAGATAACTCTCAACAAAAAAAAGTGTAATATGAGTAGCTTTTGAACAAAATTTGGATAGTTCATATTAAAAAAAAATGTGTAATTTAGGTAATTCTTTGACTAAAATTTGGGTAGAAATTTANTATTGTATCGGAGGTTTTCAAAGCATGAAGTTTGTTTTATTTTGGTTCCTAATATTTCAATTACATCGTTTTAGTCTCTAAAATATTGAATATATTTTTGTATGATCTCTCAAGCAGACAAGTTTCAAATTGTTAACGATTTTTTTTTTATTATAAACTTGTTACGTAATACCTAAATAAGGGAAAAAAATTTTTGGATAACTCTTGACCAAATTTTTACTCAAATTTTGATTAAAGAACTACCCAAATTACCCAATTTTAATCGTGCGTTATTCAAATTTTGGTCAAGAACTACCCATATTACACATTTTTTTACCAAGAGTTACCCAATTTGTTGTTAAGATCTATTCAAATTATTTTTTGTCTATATTTAGATATCACATGAAAAGTTTATAATCAAAATTATTAGCAATCTGGACGATATCTATTTGAGAGATCACATAAAAACATATTTAATATTTCATAGACTAAAATGATGTAATTGAAATATTATAGATTAAAATGAAACAAATCTCATACTTTGGAACCTCTGAAGTTTATAAAAAGCCAACATTTCGTTACAAGAAAATGAAGTTCAACAAATTTAATGATAAACAAATTCATTGAATTGGTTATCCTTAATTTATTCAAAACTATGTCAATTAAAAAGTAAAGAGGTCGATGTAACTAAATAAAATTTTAATTTCTTATGTCCTTCTCATTAAGGGTTCTTTTATGACCGGAGTTTTTTGCATGCCTCTGTGGGTATATTTTTTTTCTCTACTACAAATGAATTATTCTAAATTATACTGGTAATTAATTATAATAATAATTCAACGATGTATACTAAAAAATAAAAATTAACCATCACTGATGAAATTTGATCGAAACTAGTAAAATTTATATTCTCACCTCACAAATTTTCGTTCCTACTCCATTAAATTATAAATCATAAAACTATTAAATTCACTCCATTTATACTCACTCTACTAATAATTAAGTACAACTCATTATATACTCATCTCATTAACAATTAAACTTGATGGTGTAAATCAACATGGATGAGCAAAAGGTGCAAGTAACGTGAGATGAGCGTGGATCAGAGCTTCAAGGCTCGTGTATGACGCTACAATTAAATATTGAGGGGATTAAAGGGGTGTACACAGTAAAAATATAGTGGTTCACCGGCTCGGGAGCTCGGCTAGTCCACTCTTCAATAGAGGTTCTTGCTCCTCTTTTTCTCAATTGATTAGTTGAATGTAATACAAGACAGTGCTAAAATGATTAGGGTTTTTCTCTTTTGCTCTCCCTCTCTTACTCTGTCTCTGCCTCACGATGAGGCGTTGCATAGTATTTATAAGGTTGTCCCCTATTCCGTGGGATTTTGGTTGAGATCTTTGCCCATTATTCATGGGATCCTCCTTGATTTTAGGAGAGAATCTTGGTTGGTTGAGAGTTTCATGCATGGGATCCAATTCCCACAATCATCCAGCTGTTTCCTGGTTAGTTCAGCCACGATCTCCCCAAGGAGAACTCCACCCCTGGTTCTCTGAGTTCCTCGTGTCTTTCCTAAACTCCTGACCCAACCTCCTGACCTGACCTCACAACTAGGGCTTGTTTGAGGTATCATCAGTTGGCCCCTAGCCCCTGGTTCAAGCGGGCTTGGGTAGGGGTTGAGCTATTTTGTAAACTGAGTAGGGTCTGCACATGGCTGACCTTGGCCCGCACGTGAGTTTGGCCTTTTTGGCGACTTTCGACAATCATGGCTTCCTTGTTTCCCGTGCACGTTTTAGCCCACGTATTTCAGGCTTTAAATGCTCAAACAGCTATCTGAACCGCCTTATTCCACTGTTCAACTTCTCTGCTGCTTCTCTCTTCTTGCGATTTCTTGGTTTTTCTGGTTTGGAATTCTCTGATTACTCGTTCAAGATCGAGTTCTGTGGGTTCGATTTGAGGATTCGCATTGCCCTCTTTCTTCAATTTCGTTCCAGGCTGCTGTTCGTTGCTTTTTCCCCCTAGGTACGCCCTTCTGTCCCTTTTTCATCTTTCCTCGTTCTGGATCCCTCGAATTCGAGGTGGCCATTGCATTTCTGGGCCTTTCAGTTCTTTTACTTTTGGAATCAAAATTACTGCTTGTCTCCCCTCCCCCACTTCGTGGACTAGTCTTCTATCATGTGAATCCTTGCTATTGGAAGCTGCTGCACTGACCCTAAGGTTATTAGTGAGTGTTTAATCGGTATTCTCCCTCTCTACCGTTCTTTCAGTTTACCCTTCTCCTGTTCAATCATGTCTACTCCTTCCAAAGTTACACGCTCCTCTGCTTCTCTATTGGGGGAAAGGTCTGCCGAAGAGGACACTGATTTAGGGGATATAGGCGAAGAAATCGACAACTTCCCCTGTGTGGATGCTGTCGCTGCTGAGGAAAATACTGAGGAACCATTCACATCGTCTTCTTCTGTGCCCCCTAATCCTATCAAAGGTAAGGGCAAGGTGAGTGGGATAGGAGTCTCTAACAGCGCAACGGCCATAGGGGCCGCCTTTAGGCACGTTGAGCTCGTAAGACCTAGTGAAGTTGACTCTTCTCATGTGAAAATTCTCAGTGCTCATTACGGTTTTCCTCCTGATGTCCAGATAAATACACCTCATACGTTGCCCAAGTTCACAAGAGGGTATGTTTCTTTGCGGCAGCTTTTGAGAATGACCTTCGTTTCCCTATGCATCCCTTCATCAAGAGTGTTTTGCAACACTTCAATGTCTGCCCTACTCAGCTCTCCCCTAATTTCTGGGGTGTACTTGTGGGTCTTTTGGTTTTCTTCAAGATTCATGGACTCGGGGTTCCTAGCCTTTCTGTGCTTGTGGATCTCTTTAATGTCAAGCTCACCTCATTAGAGGGTTGCTTATATATTTCCAAGCGAACCACAGCTAGGCAAATCATTACTCAACTCCCGAGCTCCCATAAGGGTTGGAAGAAATAATTCTTTTTTGTTAGGGGCCTCAACTAGGAGTACAACCTTGCTAACAGGACTAATACTCTGGGTATCCCTAGAATTTGGTCTTCCCCTGATAACTTAGGTGAGCTCTTGCTTGAACTGATTGAGCTCTGGTTTAGGAATCGTTGAGTCGCCTTTTTGGCCTTTGCTCTCCTTGTGTTATTTTTCAAGCATTCGATCAGAGCTTAGTGCTGAGGACGAGAGGGTGAAGCGAAAGTTGGAGAAGTGCAATCCAGAGAAATACTCCGAGCTCATCAAGCCCTGGGTCTTAGTAACACAGGGATTCAGTCCTTCTGAGGCATAGATTGAAGCTTCATTCCCAATCTCAATCGTTAAGCCTGAAGACATAGAAGGTAACAATTTCTGAGTTGGTTCCCTTGTCTTTCCTTCTTTTTCCTTTCTCTTGTCTAACTTGCTTGGTTCAGATCTCCCAGGCTCCTCCATAATGAAATCTACCCCTCAGGAGCTTCAGGCCAAAGTTGACCTACTGAAGAAGAGTAGGAAAAGTGGCAAACAGAAGGCCGATACCAGCTCTAGAGACAGTCCTGCTGACAGAGCTAAAGTGTAGAAGCTGGGAGTGCCCTCTTCTTCTTCCCTGAGCAAGAGAGGACAGACTCCCTCATCTCAATCCTTGGCCCCTTCTCCTTTTCAAGGGGCCCAGTTTGCCCCCCGAAAGACTTCCGAGTCAGGGTTGGCTTCCCCTACCTTTTCTGAGATTGAGGGAATATTGGGGCTGATTACTGGAATCAAGCCAGATTTTGCACCCCCTAGACCGCCGGAGAACCCATCCCAGTTGCCTCTCTGGGCTCCNGAAAGACTTCCGAGTCAGGGTTGGCTTCCCCTACCTTTTCTGAGATTGAGGGAATATTGGGGCTGATTACTGGAATCAAGCCAGATTTTGCACCCCCTAGACCGCCGGAGAACCCATCCCAGTTGCCTCTCTGGGCTCCCAAAGTCTAAAGGAAGGAGGGCCAGGAGACTGATGAAGATTTTTTCTTCAAAAATGCTGAGTTGGCTGCTGAAGCCATTTCATCCATTCTTCCTGAAATCGATATTCAGAGGGCCTCTACCATGCCTCCTGAGGCCTCTTTCTGTTCAGCTCTCTAGGGAGCAGCCATTGTAAGTATTTTCACACTGGCTCTTTGCTCGGCGTAGTTGAATTGTNCTGTTCAGCTCTCTAGGGAGCAGCCATTGTAAGTATTTTCACACTGGCTCTTTGCTCGGCGTAGTTGAATTGTGCTGATCTATGTCTGTTTTTCTTTTTTTTTTTTTTTTTTTTATTTTTTATTTTTACAGATGGCTCTCCACTTGAAGAACTTGATGGGCAGGGTTCGATCTTCGGAGGATTCTACCAAAGTTTTGAAGACATACGAATTTAAGGTCGCT